CCATACAGATCTACTTGTCGAGTCGGAGCTTCTGACTCGGCGAGTAGACTCTTTCACCCGCATCCAAAATTTGCATCTATTCAACGAGTTAGGGCCTCCAACTCGTTGAGTCCAAGTGTAAAAATGAAAAAGCTTATATTAAAATATGTACCGAAAACCTGGCGTTACACCTTTGAATCGATGAAAAACACATCTCATCAAAAATTGCATCTCATGACTCAATAACGGTGTTAACTGATACCAAATCATTAGGTTCGATAACATAAAACCTATATGCCTTAGAATTTTTAGAATGTCCAATGAATATAAAATCAATCCACGTTCTACCAAAGTTTTCCTTTTGGGCTCAATGAGTTTTACAACAGTCCGACATCACCATACCCGAAAATAGCTCAAATTTGGCTTTTTCTTGAACCAAAGTTTATATGGGACTATTTTGTTCCTTTTGTTTGGAACCCTATTCAGCAAATAGCATGCCATTAACATGGCCTCTCCCCATAATCCCTCACTCAATCTTGAGTAAGAAATCTTTGAGTTTTTCCATTTCTTTAAAACTCCATTTTTACGTTCGGCAATTCCATTTTGTTGGGATAAGTATGGTGTCGTGGTTTCATGAATGATACCCACTAATTGGAAGTATATGCGATCCATATATTCACCTCCCCGATCAGTTCTAAGACATTTAACCAGATTGCCTAATTGCAATTCCACCTCAGTTTTCTATATTTTGAACTTTTCTAATGCTTCATTTTTAGCATTAAGCAAATACACATAGCAAAACCGAGTACAATCATCAATGAATGTGACCGTATACTTTTTATTTCCCAAAGATGGAGTAGAGTAAAAATCACACAAATCACTCTGTATAGGTTCCAAAATATCCGATTTACTAGAACACTTGGAAAGGGTTGTTTTGTAACTTACGTAAGCATGCATGTTTTATATTTTTCCATATTTATGTCAAATGGTGGTATAAAACCATCTTTTGACATTTCATGCATCCTTCTAAAATTGACATGACCCAATCTAGCATGCCAAAATATGGAGTCTTTAATTTTAGAAGAAGTCGACACAAATGCAGAATTTTGAATAGATAACAATTTATCAATAACATTCAAATGAAACATTCTATTATTTAAATATCCAAAGCCAACAAATAATCCATCTCAAGATAGGATATACCTATCTGATTCATAAACTTGTTTATAACCATCAGAATTCAAACAAATACCACTAACCAGATTCTTTCGAATCTCAGGAACAAACAAAACATCAAAAAGTTTAACAATCTTTCCAAAAGTAAATTCAAGATTAATGACACTGACACCACAAATAGGTTTAAAAGAATCGTCTCCCATGTGCAACACAAATCCATCTTCCAGCGGTGTTAATGTTTCAAACAACCTTTATCCTTGCATACATGGTTTGTTGCACCCGAGTCGATCCACCAAGCAACATCATCATCCCACCCTTAAACGCCTCCAACAAACTAGTTCATTTTCCTTTTTGTTGGGGTTATTTGAGACATGTTCCTGCTTGCGTTTGCCCTGTCCTTTGTTGTTCGAATCTTTTGGTTTGTTTTCAACCATATGAACTAAGGGTTGTCTAGATTCAACTTTTCCTTTATTTTTATCACTTTCATGTGCACGAAAGGATTCCTCAATGCGCAAATGACTACCAAGTTGAACCATGGACAGTTCCTCCTTTTGATGTTTCAGATTATATTTGAAGTCTTTCCATAATGGTGGAAATTTCAATTACACTCAACACAACAATGGTTTCATCCATATTCATGTTGTGCGGTTTGAATTAACCCAAAATGTGAAAGAGTTCATTGTATTGTTCCACGACAGATCTTGAATCAATCTTTTTTTTGTTATTACAATCACTGACTAGAAACTTCCTGTTAGAAGTATCCCCAACCATGTAACTTGATTCAAGAGTGTCCCACAACTCATGTACACTTTTAGCCTCATAATGGATATCAAATAAAGAATCAGCCATGCCATTCAGAATGTGTCCTCTGCAGATGTAGTCATCATTGTCCTACTTGCTCCTCCTTTCTAGTTTCTTCCAATATCTCATTCTCCACCACTTTTAGTCTTGGAGTACTCAGCACATACGCAGCCTGCATGGTGGTCAACATGAATAGCATCTTCTTCTACCATCACCTCAAATCATTGCCTTCAAACTATTCTAGATTCGTGAACTTCGTGGTTAACTCGCTGGTTGATTCTGCCATCGACACCAGATGAATATATCAGTTCAATTGTTGGAGGATATTGTGTAGGGTGATGGTGGAGACCCGAATTTCTCTTGGATCTTGTAAGTTCACTTTTCGAACTGATATTTTCACCCTATGTTTGGGTTACAGGAAATACAGTCTAGTATAATCCAAGAGGAGACTTATGTATCTAGGCATAAAAACACAAGCCAAATCGCAAGAGGTCCTGTATTCGTATAGAAGAAAGAGAGCTAAGTAAAGGGTATATCACAGCTCAATTAAAGAGTCGCATTTATTCTACACAGATTAGGGTTTTCGTCTTCTAAATTAGTTATGAGAATCACTAATTTAATGGAATAATCAATGGTTACCAAAATTGATAAGATTTATCAGTTTTACCATAACCACCCACTATAATTTGTATTTACCAAAATGTAACTAACCCAAATTTCCGAAGACCTTTTGGGGCGCTGCCCAAACCGCACGGGGGTGCTACCCCTCGACCCTGCCTATTGATCGGTCATCAGGACCACCGCAAGGGGATCTGTCCCTTGGACCCCACTAGGGGCGTTGCCCCTAGAACCCTATAAGGGGCCATGGCCCCCTTGACCCCTGCATTTCTGTCGTACCAGCTTATAATTCGATCACATATATGCATGCACTCCACATTCTCCAAACATATAATATAGAGTACAAATGATAATCCCCTTAGCTCACGTGTCAGTTCCAATCACATAAAATTTCTGGTGACACTAAAATCACCAACTGTTTGTGTCACTTTTAGTAAGGTGGAAGATGTTGTGGGAGTCATCGGTTGTGATGCGACTCGGATTTTGTTTGTGTATCTTGGTTTGCCTATGGTTTGTTTGCCTGTAGGAGACAATATGAATCGTGCCAACTCTTGGAAAGTTGTGACAAAAAGGTTTCCAATGAATTTTTCAACTTGGAAAAACAAAGACTCTATTGATTAGAGGTAGATTAACCCTTACTAAGTTAGTGTTGGGTAGTTTGGCCATATATCCTTTGTTTCTCTTTAAGCTTCCTAATTTGGTGTTGAAATTGTTGAAATCCCTTAGGGGATCGGTTTCTTTAGGGTTTCGAATTAGGGGAAATAAATTTTATTGGGTTTGTTGAAAGAAAGTCATGGCAAGCAAGAATGAGGGAGGTGTTTGAGTTAGCAAAATTTTTCTTTCAACTGTTCTCTTCTGTTTAAATGTCAATATCATTTTTAGCAACAACATGCTTTGTGGGTTAAAGTGATTAAAGTGTTACATAGGGATAAAGGTATTCCCGGTTTTAACGGTTCTAACTCTATTAGAATCAATCTCAATGAGTTGTGGATTAGTTTAGTTGGGGCTATTTCTCATTTATGTTTGAAAGTTCTTGATTTGGAAGATTTTTGCAATATTAAAGTGAGAAATGATCAACATACCAAGAAATTTCAAACATAAATGAGAAATAGCCCCAACTAAACTAATCCACAACTCATTGAGATTGATTCTAATAGAGCTTTTTATTTAGATGTAAAGCATGATTGTATGGTTTCGAAAAGATCTAATGTGAAAGATTGGCATCTTTGTCTTATGAAGAATCAAATAGGTGGTGTTAAGGAGGGTCATTGTCATCAATTCACCGCCTTACTTAAATTTTATGTTTTCTCAAAACAAAGGGATTGCTTGGGCTTGACTTTTAACCCGGGAGAGTTTTCTTTCTCCGCAGTGAGAGCTATTTTTGGATGGTGCGACTTTAGCTACTAGCAAGGTTTCAACTAAACAGAACAATTACATTCCTTTCAAGTTGAATATTTTACTTTGGGGGTTGCTCTTAATCGGTCGCCTACACGTGCTAAGCTTGTTGATGTGGAGTACAGGCTTTGTCCTTTATGTGACCTTGCTCTTGAAATTGTGTCTCGTTTGTTTGTTTTATGTTTGATGATTGTGGATATTTTGCAACTTATTGGAAAATCGTTTGATATCTAATGCCCAATCAATAGATACTTCAAGTGATAGTTAGATAAAGTGGGCGGACAACGTCCGACTCTACGGAGGGCAACACAAATGTATTGATGCGGCAATCGTAACTACTATTTGGATAGTTTGGAGCTCCAAAAATAACATTATCTTTGGAGCTGTAAAGTCAAAAAAAAAAAAAAATCAAGAATTTTTAGTTACTTAGTTTTGTACACTTTTTATTGAGATTAGCCGTAGACGCCAACTGTATAATCTAAATTGGTCGGAGGCTTTAAAACCGCTATTTTGCTTATTTGACTTTGTAATATTTTTCTAGCATATTTGCTATTTTAATACAAATCTTCCGTTTTAAAAATAGTCAAAATTTCTAGTTAATCTTATGTTTATTGTAGATAAAACTGATTATATTATGTCTTAGGACAAAACTTAATTGGTTATGGGATGACTTCTTTATGGTTGTAACAAAATAATAGACATGGTTCTTTCGGCACCGAGGATCACCGATGCACGTCATGCCAAAGCTACACCATCTCGAAATCCAACCCCAAACCTAAAAGAATATGAAGCAAAAGATGATTCATTTTTCTCAACACAATCACATCATTTATCACATTCTTTAATACTATGGAGGGTTCTCATGTTGTGAGACTAGAATTCCAACTCAAAAACCTAGAATAACACATAGTAATAGCTCAAAAAAAAACAACTTTTCTAAAGATAACAAATAGTATTAGAATTTTCCTCAACATACGATGGTTATATTGACAATAGCCTAGTAGGTTTATTTGCCATATTATCGAAAATGCCATACCATTGGAAGGTAATAGCTCCAAAGAACCAATTTTTCTAAAGATGGTTTAATGATGGGTGGGATGAATCATCTATGCACTAAAGTCCTTCATGATGTGAAATTACAAATATACCCTCTCTCCACAATAAATTAAAACACCTCAAGATTCTATAGTCAAAAGCTCAACAAACTCCACCATGGCTATAGGTTTAAGCTCTCCATCCATTCTATATATCTCCACCATTCTTATTACTCTTTTCTTCTCTACATCCTCTCAAACTTGTTCAAATCACACTTTTACATCCAAAAGATCCTTCACTTCCTGCAAAGACCTTCCATATCTCAATGCTCATCTTCACTGGACTTACTTCAAGTCCACAAATCAATCCAAGATCGCATTTCGGGCCCCACACGCTCCAAAGGGGTGGATCGCATGGGCAATCAATCCATACAGAAGAAGCATGGTTGGATCACAAGCACTCATAGCTTTTAAGAATACTAAAGGCATGATGTCAGCATACACAACAACAATCACAGGTTACAACCCATCAATGCAACCTAAAAAACTCTCCTTCCATGTTTCAAAACTTTCAGTCGAGTATTCAAACAATGAGATAACCATTTTTGCAGTTGTGGGTCCACTTGTAAATGGGCCGGTTGTTAACCAAGTGTGGCAAGTTGGGAGCTTGGATCAGAATGGTGTTCCTATGATGCACGAAATGGAGTTTCAGAATCTTCAATCGAAAGATGTTATTGATTTTTCGTCTTTTTGAATTATTGAAATTTATAAAATCTCGTACACTTATGTTGATGGTGTTCAATGCACATGTGATCATGTTAACAATGGTAAAAAGCATGGCATGCCATCTGTCTACTAAGATTCCCTAATTGAGTATATGCCATACAAAAGCGAAAATGACTTTATTTTAAACTTTTTCGCCTTCCCAAAAGATCTTTTTTTATATAATTGTGCCACCATACTTTTACATAATATGTATACCCCATGTTTGTTTTAATGATAAGGATAAGATACAATAATCATAATGATACCAACCTGTAAAGAGTACAAGAGTTAAATTACAAGTACTTTTCATAGGTAAGCTTCGAAAGTATTCAACTTAAAAGTTAAATAATAATAATAATAAAAATCTTTAAAGTTGACTTTTTTGTGATGAAGTCATGTAATTTTTCACACATTTACTGCTTTGATCACATCAAGTAGTTGGTTTATCACACATGATGCACCTCCTATGAGTAAATAAAAGTTTCATGACAACCTACATACACTATGACTATCAATATAAGTTGTTATTAAACATTAACAAGATCAATAACCAAAGTTTTTATAATTCCATCAATGGCCATAACTATAACCTTTGTCCTCGTTATATTTTTTTATTTTCTTGCATCTCATTTTGATGTATCATATGCTCGAATGTGTTCAGAATACAAATTCACATCCAGAAGAATCTACAGTTCTTGTAGGGATCTACCCCATTTGTCCGCAGAGCTTCATTGGACGTACAATTCATCAACGGGTATAGCCCGGATCGCGTACCGGGCCCGCCAGGGCCCACGCGGGTGGGTTGCATGGGCGGTTAACCCGAACCAAATAGGCATGGTTGGGTCGGAAGCAATTGTGGCTTTTCATAATGGTAATGGAAGTATGAGAGTGTATACGACTATGATAAATAGTTATAGTCCTTCAATGGTACCGGGAAATCTTAGTTTTCAAGTTTCGGGTTTATCTGCTGAGTCATCGGTTAATGAGATTGCTATTTTTGCTGATGTGGGCCCGTTTGAAGGTGGGTCCGTTGTTAATCAAGTGTGGCAAAGTGGGAATTTGGTTTTGAACGGTGTCCCTCAAATGCATGCGGTTTCACAACAAAATCTTCAATCAACGGGGGAGATTGATTTCTTGTATGATCAAGAAAAGCATAGATAGGAAGTTTGTAAAATATATATGTCAATTTATGAGTTAAATGTAACGCCATATTCAACTACCAAATGTTGCTAAATTGAAGTGAATTTGAAAGAATATTCTATAATAACAAAGATGAGAAGTACTTGTAGGCATATAAGAATATGTAATCATTTTACCCACTACTTGATGGAGATTGTCCTACTTTTGCTTTTTCTTGTTGGTAGCTCCACAATCACTTGTTCAATAAATCAAGAAAAGATGGACGATATTTTCCAAAGAAAAATCTTTAAGATTATTTATTTTCTTAATAATCGGAAATCAATTTGGATACCGAAATGAAAATTCCACAGGGTGGCAGTTAGGTCGGTATGTTGCACGTAGAATGATGGTGAATAAAAAAGATGCATGGGAATATAACTTGGAAGTTAGACTTGAAGGAGTAGACACTTTTAGAAAACATGACCTCATATAGGAGAAAGGAGAAAGTGGATTCTTAAAATTAGGGTAGTTATACTCATTTTACCTATTTGAGCATCAAAGTATAGTATTTATCAGCTTATCTACTTATTTATTCCATTTTTTACTTTCAGTTTTATTGCTAACATCGTCTTTTTTTATCCCTTCTTTAGTCGCCGTTGTTTAGCATGCACTTATTGTGGGAAATCTTATATAGATACAACCTCTATATATGGGCAAACATGGAGGGACCTAATTGTAATATTTATTATTTTTAATTTTGCACCCTATCTAGAATCATCTCTAGGCTAGCATAAATAACATTACTCTAAGGGGTATTGGATATTCAAGTATTCTTCATATTTTAGTCATGGCGTTAAGCTTGGGCTAGGGTCATCTCTTTTGAGAGCCTTTCTGATTAAGGCAAGGAGAAACATTTGGTTTCTTAGATGATTTGTTTCTCTTTCTTTTCTAATGTATTATGTAATAAACAGCATTCACAGTCTTATATTATAGTGTATTTTGATTTCAATTGAGATGCAATAACAGATGCAGAGAATCAAAATACACTATATATAGACTAGAAGGTTGCTAATTACATAATAGAACAGAAAGAAAAAAAAAAAAAAAAAATCAGCAAAGAAACTAAATGTTTCTCCCAGTCCTAATTAGAAAGGCTCTCAAAAGAGATGACACATGCTCAAAACTTAACGCGATGACTAAAATATGAAGAATACTCAATGATTCAATTCTCCTAAGACTAATATTACTTATGCTAACGTAGAGATGATTCTAGAATCTAGATATGGTGAAAAACTGAAAATAACAAATATTACAATATTTACAAATAGATCTTTCCATGTTTGCCCTTATATTTATATAAAGAAACGTTCTTTAGCAAGATCCAAGATTGTAAATCTCTCCAACGTCAAAAAGCAAAAAAGTCTGAATCTCATGAGGTAGGAGTTGTGTTTTTACAATGTCTTTTTTTTTACGTTATAGATGTACGAGGAGTTCAATAAATGGGTATAACATAATAATATCAATATGAAGTTAATTTGATTTGATCAATCAACAGGAAAACCCAGATGCCGATTGATTAGTTTAGCGACAGGAGTGGCATCACCTGGGTGGTATGGAATGATGGATTCCAATTCCAATGATTGAATGACTTGGTAGAGTGTTTGAGGGTGAGCACAAAATAAATGTTTCCTTTCTGCTAATTCTTCTGCTAACTCACTTTGATGATTGTCCATTAGGTCTTCATTCACTACCACTATTAATGGTTTCCTTAGCCTTAATGTCTCAAATATGCTCCCTGAACCTGTGCCACACATAAAACTCTAAAAATTCAAACACTCATTATTATTATTATTATTATTATTATTATTATTATATTGGATAATTGGAAGCATGAAAATTGTAAAGAAAAATAATAATAATACCTGCATGGCTTATAACAAGAGATGCTGATGTTAAATAGTCTGCAATGCTTGAAGAAAAGGTGAAGTAATCAACAACCAGTGATCCATCTTCACCACTAGACTGCATTTTATGATGCATCGAGATTATTTATACATAAAACATATTTACTCTATATGTGCATGTTGCATCAAGTGTTCGATTTTGGAATCTCATAAAACATTATAAAAAGCAAAAGGAATGAAATGTCAAAGCAAAAAATTATGTGTCAAAGATACAGCATTTTCCGAATCATTAAAATCATTTTAGTGGACTTCAACAAATTTGAATTATCAAACCTAGAAAGTGAATCACAAAAACACAAAACCACAATGTTTTCTAAAAAAATTGTGCTTACTTTACTACATCGAATGAGTTATTTGTCCTTTTTTATGAATAAAATCGTTTCGAAAATATCTTGATCTTTTCTTTGAAGATGTTTTGACAAGGTATGCATTAGGCCTAAGATTTTCAACATCAAGTGTAAATAAAATATGAAAGCAAGCGTCTTGAAGTGTGACAAAAGAAAAATCATTGTCATATTTCAAGTCATTTGATTTCGTGTTTTATTTACACTTGATATGGAAAATTTTAGGCTTAACGGATACATTGTCAAAACATATTTAAAAAATGATGAGTTTCATTCAAGTTTAAAGAATGTATATTATTTTTGTCAAAAAAAATAATATTAGAATTGTGGAATGTTGGAAGATTATGTTACTCCAAAAAGCCATACATACAACCAAAAATTACTAACCGACATCGCTTTGTAGTTGTTATTTTTAACACGGTTTTAGATAAGCAAAGTTCATGAAGTTGATGATCGATGTAGTGAAGTAAGCACAAACTTGCTAGAAAACATGGTGGCTTTGAGTTTTTGTGATTCGTTTTTTAGGTTTGATAAATCGAATTTGCAGAAGTCAAGTGAGATGCACCAAAACTATTTTAATGATTCGTAAAACGATGCATCTTAGTCAAGTTGATATCTATCATCATTGTTTGCTACATGATAACAAAGATGCTAACTTGAAAAGAATTCTCGGCCTTTCTCTTTTGATGATGGAAACAAGGAAACATCATTTTTTTTTCTTTAGTTAATTATTTAAATTTAACTTTGGTTTTGCATGTCACAACCGCAACTGTTGACAACTTTTATGACTGATGTTTTGATTTTTTTTTTTTTGAAAGAGATGATGTTTTGATTTGTAGTGTAGAAAATAAAACACTAATGGATGTAAATAAAACACATGATACTCTAGGGAATCTCACTATAAATCGATTGTGAATGTTATTTCTTTATATATCATATAGGTGTGAGTTACTTGATAACAATGGAGGTAGGTGTCCCTTGAGTTTTCGATTCTATATTCTTGATATAGTTGATGAAAATTATTTTTGGTGTAGCAAATCATTTGAAGATTGCTTTACAATGAAAAGATCAAAACATAGTTAATGTCATGTCTTTGTGACGTTAACAAAACTATGATCAGGTATTATGGATGGGAAACTCTCTTGAGTTCGGTCATATCTTTTTGTGAGAAAAGTTTCATTGAAGCTCCCAAGATGGAAGATGTGCATGTTAAACCTAGTAAACTACACACGAAAAGAAATCGATTTATAATTTCAAGGGATAAAAGAAATCGATTTGATGAGGCTAATTTGAAAAAACACACGAAAAATAATAGATTCAAGGGACTGAAGGATCTTAAAGAACTCTTTAAGGATTAAACTTATTACATACTTGTGGTTGGCTTTTTGAAATACTTGCAAACATAAAGAATCTGCTCTCAATTTGTTCGATTTCTCCTTCATCCTTCTTTTGTAATTTGTTTTTTTTTTTTTTTTTAATGTTACTACTAAGTTAGCTATTACTTTAATTTTGGTTGTTTTTTAATGTTGCTGCTATGTTTCCTATCGTTTTAATTTTGTATACTTTTTGTTTTCAATGTTAGTGCTAAGTCGCTACTTTTTTATAATATTATTAGCTTTTCATAATCTATATGTTTTCTCACTGCTAGCTTACTACTACCATTCATTAAATTTGTTGAAAACATATAATATTATTATTACTACCCAATCGTTAGGTGCTTCTTGATCGCTACATTTTTTAATTTGCTACACTTTGTTAAAATATTATACATTATATCTTGAGAGCATGATTCCTATATATATAACAAGGAGACTTCGATGATTTTTTATCTTAAATATCGTATTCAACCCTCTTTCTACAATACTTTTGTGATATAGATCAATGAAATATAGTACCTTTTTAGGGATGTAGGATCCACGACCCATTTGAATGACAAGGTGAGTGTATCCTTTCTTTGACAATTCTTCTTTAACTTGTTCAGTATCCACACTTCTAACAAGAGAATCAAAAGATGTTGTGCCAACAGTCACAAAAACAATTCTCTTTGATTTCAAATTGTTATCACTACTAGTCTCCATCTTCTTATACTGTGTTTTTCACTCCTGTCAAAATAATAAAAGAAGAAAAGCATAGAAATTAAAAGTAGCAAACAGCTATAAGGTAACTCCCCACCTATGTGATTCTTATTATAGTTGTGAAAAGTAGCTAAACTAGTATCACAGATAACAATTTACAATTATCCTAAATAGGAATTTAAGATAATAAGATATTTGCAGTGTAGTATCAAAACCATCGGTTATAACTTATAATTGGATTAATACTTTTATACAAGATTTTTCAACAGATGAGAACTAAAGCTATGAAGAAGCATGATCCATAATAATATAAATGAATTGCTGTAATGCAGCTCGATTCTACACAGTCAACTACTGAAATCAGATTGATCAAATAATTACTATTTGGGTTTTTTATCCGCAATCAAAAGATGCAAAATTGGTTAACTTTGGCGATAAAGAATCAAAATTGTGTACACGATGTTGATGAAATCTAGGGTTTCAGAATTCAAATTATGCTTAAAGCCACTTTCAAGTTCCGAATGCCCAAAATAGTAAGAATCCTTCAACGATTCGACCATTCCCCAACATTAATACATCAAGAAAAACATCAATCGTGTGACTAACCTTATCTGTCCATGCTCGATTTCTAGTTGTAGGTAGAATCCTAGGCTTCAATTTCGAGTGTCTTCCCTTCGATTTTTTAGATTTGATGGTGTTGTTGAATGGTTGAAGAGAGAGGAATCAGTGAATTACCGATTACGATTTCCTAGGGTTTAACTTTTGACAAAAGTAAAAAAAGTCAACGGGATGTAGCTGAACATTAATCTGATTAAAGCCAATAGTGGGCTTATTTTGTTTTCAACTTAAGCCTAATGTCCCCTGCTCTTAAAGTCCAATAGCCTTAGCCTAAATTTTCGCCTATTAAAGATGGGAAAATGATTTATTAAGGTAACTAACTATTTCAATTGTTCATATATAGGTAATGTTCTTTTTTTTGTACACATTAAGGTAACTAACTTGTTTTGTTTGTTCACATTTAGGTAATATGACCGGCTATCACCTGTTTTTGCTTATGTGGCATCCACCTGGCATTACGTTGCACCTACGTGGTATGGTGCATATATGGGAAAATGACTTATTAAGGTAACTAACTATTTCAATTGTCCATATATAGGTAATGTTCTTTTTTTTTTACACATTAAGGTAACTAACTTGTTTTGTTTGTTCACATTTAGGTAATATGACCGACTATCACATGTTTTTGCTTATGTGGCATCCACCTGGCATATGACTTGAATACGTTACACCTACGTGACATCCACCTGACATATGACTTGTTTTGTTTCTTCTTCCTCATCTTATTCTTCAAAACAACAAGATGAATTTCAAGCTGATCATCCATGTGATTGCGGCTTACCATCTCGTGTGAAGATTTCAAGAACTCCTGACAACCATGGAAGAAAATTTAGAGTTTGTCAAAACTCGATGGTAAATCAATATTGTTGAATATGTTGCAGGAGTTCTTGAAATCTTTACACGAGATGGTAAACCGCAATCGATGATCAGCTTGAAATTCATCTTGTCATTTTGAAGAATAAGATGAGGAAGAAGAAGCCATCATCGATCGATCTAGGGTTTAGAATTAGGGGTGGAATCGTATGACACAGTTATAGTGTAATCGAATGAAGACAAAATATGCACCATGCCATGTAGGTGCAACGTATTCAAGTCATATGCCAGGTGGATGCCACATAAGCAAAAACATGTGATAGCCAGTCATATTACCTAAATGTGAACAAACAAAACAAGTTAGTTACCTTAATGTGTACAAAAAAAAAAGAACATTACCTATATATGGACAATTGAAATAGTTAGTTACCTTAATAAGTCATTTTCCCATATATGCACCATGCCACGTAGGTGCAACGTAATGCCAGGTGGATGCCACATAAGCAAAAACAGGTGATAGCCGGTCATATTACCTAAATGTGAACAAACAAAACAAGTTAGTTACCTTAATGTGTACAAAAAAAAGAACATTACCTATATATGGACAATTGAAATAGTTAGTTACCTAAATAAGTCATTTTCCCATTAAAGATTTCCAATGTAAGATGTTTATTATCGGATAAAATCGAATTTTTTTAAAATAATTTGGATTTGACTGTTTGGATAAACTAATTTTTGGATTGATTTGGATCAAAACTAAATAAATATTTTTGATTTTAGGTGGTTTTGGGTACATAATAAAGAATCGAATAGTCCAAAAAAACCAAATAAATTTTTAGTATTTATTAATTTATATTTTTATGTTTAATATAAATCTTTAAATTTATTATTTGTAAGTTGTCTTTAATACTATATGGTAACTAATAGAGTTTGGTTGATTTAAACTTTTTTTTTTAAATCATATCATATAAAGGCATAAAGCTATTGGTGTTCGGTTGGATTGGATTGGTTTAATCTTATCTGATTAAGTGAATCCAAATTAATGTTGGTTTTCAAAACGTAGATTCAAAATAGTCCAAACCAAATTCAAATCTAATATAATTTGATTGGATGGGTTTTCAAGAATTAAGATATTTTAATAAATATCATTTTAATATTAACTTATTCTATAATACAAACTAAAAAAATGTTTAATTAGTTATAAATTAAAATTTATAAATAACTATCAAAGAAAAATATATTATATTATAAGTACATATTAAAGTATTATAATAAGTGAAAATTTTTAATCAACTAAATGAATAATTTAGTAAATTTATAAACTATTAAAAATATATATTAAAAGGAATAAAATAATAAATTGTTATTCAGTTTTTTTGGACTATTTGGTTTCTATTTTATAAACCAAAACCAATCCAAAATAATAACTCGATTTTGCTAAAAACGAATCCAAGAATCCAAATATCCGAATTGTAATTTGGTTGGTTTGGATCTGATTTTAATTTAATTTGTATTATTTTGATAAACATATTAAAAAACATAATCAATTGGGATTTACTTGATCATATCATATCAAACTGATCCATCCGAACGAACAACCTTAAATGCAAGAAATATCAATAGACTATCGATTTTTTAACCAATCGGTCGTAATTGGGTAAAATATTTACCAATTACTCAATTGTTTGGAAAATATTTACTAAAATATATTAAATTAAATTGGAACTCAATTTTTAATTAAATAAATAATAACAGTAAGGAAAGTAGTATGTCCCCCTCTCATTCGTCAATGCTTATCGTTGCTAATTAACCCTTCTGTTCCGAATTATGATAGACTCGCTATTAAAACAAAATTCCTAAAGGACATCATTTTTGCTTAATGTAGAAAAACGCAAAGGTTATGAAGATGTTCTACTCAATGACGAATCAACCATAAAAAATCCATCGTAAACCAACCTATTTTTGTCACCATTTAAGACGTTCACCGGGATTTTCAGTTGAATATGCTATTGTAACATCCAAAATTCTGGTATGTCTTGAAACCCTAAGGAATGATAAGTACTTAAGAGTACGCTTAGCGTACTACATACTTGTGGTCGCGGAGGAATCAGGGTACGCTGGGCGTACCTTGGGTTACGCGGGGCGTACACGCCAGGGACGCAAAACCCTAAATCTCGGACTTGAGGCATATTTAAACATCTTTAAGTCCCTTAGACTAAACCCCAGAGAGCCTCCTCAACTATAGAACGTTCTTATACTCTTGGAAACCTTGTGAGATCATTCTTGAGCCTTAAAGAGTGCATTTGTGCCCTTTTTAGTGTGTATTTCAAGAAGAAGGGTGGTCAAGCAAGCTTGGATAAAGTGGGTGCTTCAAGATCCTGCACCAAAATCATCTTGCAAGGCTACTGGAGGTAAAAAGCTTGCATCTTTCCTTTCTAATCTTTAGATCTAGCTAGGGTTTTGGTGGTTTGTCCCTTTTGTGAACTTTGGACCTCTTTTGTTGAGCTAAGCCTCCCCAATCGATATGAGAGGCAGATATGAGGTCCCCTAGTCATGTAGAAGTATAAAAATGGAAGCTTGATGAGAGATTTGACCTCATGATTGGGTAAAATACCATGGAAAGGTCTTAATGGGGTAGTTGGGTGTGTATGAAACATACAAGGGCATAAAGTTGCCAACTTTATGCTTTAGGACATCTTGTTAGACTTAGATCTAACTTTTGGATGTCAAAGATCCGGGCATTAAGCACTTAATGCAAAAAGTGCCTAACATGGTTGTACGTTAGGCGTAACTGGTTGTACGCGGCACATAGTCCCTAAGCCTTCATTACGCTGGGCGTACGCAACTCAGTTGGGCCCTAATCTGTTTTAGGCCTTTGGGCCTCATTTGGTTGTTGGGCTTGATTAGATTATGTGAGTTAGAGGCCTTTTCATCTGTTTGGGTCGTGGGTTTACTGGTTGGGCCTTATTAGGCCAAGGGGCCCATTAAGGATGATGGACTTGGACTTGGGGATATAATTGGAAGGTTCGGCCTTTCCTGTAATAATTTAAGGTCTTATCATTGACTATATTATTATTGTTATTATTCACCTCAGGAGGCTGCGGATTTTTAGGAGGACAGTATTCATATTCATCGGATAGAGGTGAGTTTTCTCACCATACCTATGGGTCTACGGCACCAAGGCCGGCTCATTATGTGATCATGTTATGTGTTTGTTATTCATTTATGAATTGATATGTTATGTGATATTATGTTGGTATGGAAGACCCTGGGGGGGGAGCCCGTGGCATTGGATATAAGACCATGTGGGGTAGCCCATGGCATTCCTAGGTAAAGACCATGTGGGGTAGCCCATTGCACCGGATGTAAGACCATATGGGGTAGCCCATGGTAGTCCCATGTAAAGACCATGTGGGGTAGCCCATGACATTCTTGCTGGATTATATTGCATGGTTTATGTGGCATGTGAATATCTTCATTAGCTAACAGGATATGTGTATGTGAATGTGTGTGGTATGCTTTGGGAAACTCACTAAGCATTTCGCTTACAGGTTGTTGATTTGTTTCAGGTGCTTCTGATCCCAAGGGCAAGGGTAAGGCGTGATGATGTGGCACGCACTCTATCTCTCTTTTTAATGTATTTGGGACCTTCTGATTTCTTAAAGAGGAAAACAATGATGCAATGAATGTTATTTTGAAAACATATGTTTGGGAATCTATGGTTTATGAGATTGGTTTTGATTAACTTAAAAATGAAAATTTTTCTTTGTAAAATTGGGTCGTTCCAAGTTGGTATCAGAGCCTTGGTTTGATGGATTCGGGCACATCTTCGGGTGTGTTAGGACTCAAAATAAGGAGGTGATAAAATGTTTTCAAAAGTAACCTAAAAGGAATTTAAAAGAAACCCAAAAGATGAGAGTGTGACGCACGTGATCAGCCAAGCCAAGTAAGAAGTTTCCTAATTTAAATAACCATGTGATACTGATATTGAGCTTTTTTGATTATATGGGACCTGCTAAGTGTATGTTTTTAAAATTGTATACGGTTAGGAGCTTATAGCCTCATAATGATTGATTTGGCCTTATTTTCTTTTCTAGTTTGGATATAGTCTTAGGGTAAAATCTCTTATTCGAAAGCTTATTTGATCCTTTCTATGTATAATTTGCATGCATAAAAGCAGTCTGTCATGATTGGTTTGGTTGATATGAGTAGAGCGAGTCTTAGGACGGCCTGAGGCTGATATATTCAGTAATTGCGGAGCATAGTTGGGTTGTGGGACAAATTGAAGTTATCAGGTAGAGCAACAGGGAAAGGTACAGGTAGGTGTGGAAGGTAGTATTGGCTCGTACTACTGGAAGCACAGGACCTGTACCCGAAGCGTTGCTAGATCTAACGA